TGTTGGCTCGACGTTGGATTTTGGTTAGTTCCAACGCAACCTTAACTCAACCAAATATCAACGTCTTTATTGTACGTCAGATTATTGTTGTCCTTAGACAACAATTTAATTAAAAAAAATCTTACACATACTATAGGAAGGGTATGACAAAAAAATGCGGTTTTAAAACTTTGACTTTATATACCTTGAAAACGGTTATCATCCCATGCCTAGTCCACTCCCATATTTACTGGAATTGAAGTGGCTCATTGGTAGCCAGATATTGCATGTACTGTAATTAGAATACGGTAACACGTTACTGTGAAACATTTCTGAGGACTGCAGTAATGTAATGAATTACATTTTAAATTTGTACAATTTGATTAACAAAATTACATTGACATTAGTAACTGTACTTAAGTTACAAATATAGTTTTTAGAAGAAAAAAAATACTTCTTTTAAATCACATTTTCTGCTGCAATGTCAGTTGATAAACGTGTTTTAAATTGCGAGCTGAAATGCTTACTGTCGAGAGGGGATGCTTCTTCAATTGGAAATACAGACATTACTTTAATTTCATTGAGCAAAAAACAAAAATATTGCTGTGAAATTCAGTCTATGTCTAGTCTCCAGAACTAGAGTCTCTAGAACTTTCGACTTCTTTAAATTCGACCAGTAACTTGTTCAATCACTATAGCAGAAAGCATTCAATGACAATACTTGTCACCAAGCAGGACACCGGCGCCGCAAAACACGGTGGCCAAACTCAACCTAAACAGGCTATATTGAATTTTTTTGCAGGATCAGGAGTGAAGGTGCCTTCTGAATGTGAAGAGAAGCGTAGCTGCTTATGGGGCCGTTCACATATCAGGTCTTTTGTCCGCCCGCATATTGTGAGCGCATATTGCGTGTGCTCACATTTCCCAGGCACCCCTAGTTGAAAACCGCGAGTCACATGACAAGAACTAACCGATGAGCTTCAAACTTTGGAATATAAACATTTTGGTAAATTAATTATAATAAATTTGTATTTTTATAGGTATATTTTATATGTTTCAAAAGTAACTTCAAAGTAAGTTAATTAGTAATCTGATTTCTTTTTACATGAAGTAATTAGTCATTTAATCAGATTACAGTTTCCCAGTAGTAATCAGTAGTTTGTAATCTATTACTTTTTTAAAGTAACTCACCCAACACTGCCAATTGATTTACCAGATCTACAAATGAGTTGAAAGAAGTCTTCCTATTTTATAAATGTCTAGTCAAGCTCACTTTTTAGCCCATCCACCATCCACCTCCCACACTGCTTTGAATTTTTTCTTTGAAGCGAAGAAGAATGATCAATGTCTTGCACTGATTATCAAGGCCTGAACAAAATCATCATCAAATTTCATAATTCTCTTTCTATGAGCTCTGCTCTGGAACAGCTTTGGGCTGCAAACATAATTTCTAGGTTGGACCTCTGCAGCACTTATAAGCTCATATGGATATGTGTGAGTGATGAATGGAGAAAGACCACCCCCTTTGTCATCATTACTGGACATTTTGAGTACTGTGGGATGATTTTTGGGTTGGTAAACACACCTTCTGAATTCCAACACTTCACGATTGATGTACTCTGGGAGTTTCTTCATTGATGACGTTCCGATTTACTCCCGGAGTATAGCGATACATCATGTTCCAGAGGTCCTCCATAGACTCAAGACAGAGAAAATTAGGCTTGATTAGGTTATCTGCACACTGTAAAACCCAACAGCCAACTTTATCAAATGAAATGAGTGTAGTTAACTTAAAATTTATTAAAAGTTAATTCTACTCATTTGAAAAGAGTTTTTAAGTCAGTGTTGAATGTAATGGATTAATTAAATACCACATTACTTCAACATAAAAGGAGTAAGTTCACAGTACTCATATAGATTAGTTTTTTAACTCAAATGGATTGTAGCAATCGGTTTCCTCAAACGGTTTGAGTTGCCTTAACTTAATTTTTACAGTACTCAGTTGGATTGAGTTCTCTTCATTTATTGGGTTTTACTGTGCTCAAATTGCTTTGTGTACTCAAGTGAAGTTTCACAAACTAATTTCAAGAGGAGCACGTGATAGGATTGACTACAGCTGATCCGTATCACTAACTAACCAATCAGATCATTCTAAATTTAATATTAATATCCAGCCTAAACTTCATTCCTCATCTTCGTTTTGGAAACCCTCCGATCCATCCCTTCTCCCTGCTCCTCTATTCTAAGTTCGGGTGACATGGTGGCTCAGCTGCTATCACTGATGCCCCAGCAAGGGGGTCATTGGTTCAAACACTAGCTGAGCAGACGCTCTCTGTGTGGAGTTTGCATGTTCTCTCTGTGTTTGCGTTGGTTTTCTCCGGGTACTCCAGTTTCCTCCCACACTCAAAAAACATTCAACAAAAGTTAAAGTCACAAGCACCTACTATTTACAAACTGGTGCAGTTAGCGGTCTACTCTTGGGAAGTTATTGAGAACTACCTGATCTCGTATCCCATCTAATGCTTATTGACCAGGCGGGAGCCTTGGGCTCATCTATCTCCGAGCTCAGGGTTCTCTCCTGGGACAGCATGCCAAACCTGCTAAAATAGTCAAGCATTATCTAAGTGTAAACTCTTGAAATGAAGTAAGTTCACAGTACTCATTAGTTTTCGTTTTTTTAACTTGGTTTGTTGCGATCGGTTACCTGAAAAGGTTTGAGTTACCTTAACTTTTTGGGCTTTATAGTGTTTGCCTAAACTGAACATAAACTGGGAGCTTATCTCTTAAATCTGATTGGCTAATTGGTAAGTTGTTCTAGATCAACAAAGACTTTGATACAGGAACATTTAAAAAAATTGCACTAACCCAAAGTAAAGTTCTCCACATATTTTCTTACAATAACTTTTGAATATAACCATGAAAGACACATTTGTGATGAAGTGGATCAGTTCTCTTGTTCTATTCTTTTTATTAACGAAACAAAACCAGCCACAGCCAAAAACTACATCAGACATCAACACAAATAGCATGAGAACAGGAGAAAATGAGAAAACGAAAAAGTGACTGCTGCATTTACAGGAGCTTGTCCTTTCTGTCACCTTCTTTACAGCTTTCTCCTGCTCATTTAGGCACTGATGTTTTCCTGCAAAAATAATTTTGGTCATATAAACGGTTTTAAGGATTTCATGATAGGTATACATCATCTTGGTAAACAATGTCAGTCTAAACGTATTTCTAACCACAGTGTTTATACAGATCTAGTCTGCATTTCATTGGTAGACAACTACATAAAGGTAAAACAGAACGTTTAACTATAAATCATCATACAATCAAGTCAATACTTTACAAAACGTTAGGTCTGCACAGGAAAAAAAGGAACTCCACAAGTTTGAATAGCTATGCCAGTGATCTCTTTAATGTTTGCATTTTGTATATAAGGTCAAGGCCAAAGGTTTGCTAAAACTGTTTTTTTTTTCTATGTTTAAAGTTAACCTCTAGTAAAATGTTGTCATACAACTTCAGTGGCATCAACATCATACATCTACTTATGCATGCCACTATAATTTTGTTATATTAGTCACTTTAAAGATGGTAATTTATGTGTCATATCAATGTTCCATATATATACTTCTATACTTTTGGTCCTGACTTTATAGTTTCCACTTATGTTTACCTGTATATTTGTGTTTACTGCATGTTTGGCTGGTGCAATCTTTCATATATTCAGAAATACAATACTACACATAAATTCTTGGAAAAATATATGCATTTTGTCACAAAGATGTAAAAAAAGAGTGAAAATGTATTTTAGTTTCAGCACCACTGATGGTTCTGTTGAATAGAAAGAAATATGAACTAATGATATTGAATGTCCTCGTGGATGCATTGAGGCAATATTTATAATACATAGGAAAGAAAACTCGAGAAGACTTCTTGTTATTCTCCATGTAAAATCAACATTGTGCGCCATAGATACACAAGACACCGGCAAACACTTCTCTTATTTGTCTCTTTTAGTGGTTTGTTGGTTGGTTGGTTTTCTTTTGAACATGTTCAAGTGTGGTAGACATCAGAAACTCTCACAATTGTTTTTCTTTTTCCCAGAAGGCAAACACTGGGCTGAAAAACCGAAAACTCTCATTTAGACTAAGAGTAATAAAGATGAATGAAGTTTTTTTTAATACTTTGATTAAGTATGATTTTGGTGAAATGCTGAGTACATCAGGGGTTTCCAATGTTCTCCTGGAGAAACATCTTCTAGCTTAGATTAGCTCTAGTCTTATGCTGTGTTCACACCAGATGCAGAACATGCGAGTAAATCGAGCTACTCAGACGTAAATAGTCGTGTGAACATTTTGAGTTTACTCGCTTAATTAACGCATCAAATTCCCTTCACAATAGACGCAGATTCGTGTTATGGGCAGGGCTTCTAACTGCCTGGTGAATCTAGCTTCATTACTAAATGGCTAACATGAATTTTATTGAGAAAATAGCTGTGTTTATGTGCTTTAGGAAGGCTGAAAAACAGCGTATGTTTGATCGGCGCCGTGTCTGAGTCCACTAGATCCTTACAGAGATGCTCCCAGCTCTGTGAGTTCATCAACTCCTTCAGAAACTATACCTGAATGATGGAGGCTTTCAGTGGTTCTTTAGACCAATCCGAGCCTAGTTTGATGAAATTTTGTCCGATGTCGGCAAGAGGACTTCCACTCGGAGAACAGGCACAACGTTATAATCACACACATACAAGAGCAAGCTCCAGATTGGTTAACAGCGCAGACATCCCAACTCTCGCCGAAGTTCTGGTAGTCTCACAAATGCATAGAGATTCCCAGATACTCGCAAACGAACGATAATCTCCCATAAATCTTGCGTCTCCCACCTGTCAAATACGTTGCACACCCCTGTCCACCACATCCCCCCCAGCTTTATGCATACATCGCGCACAACTCCACCCTGCTCTCCAGATATGCCGTCTACCCCCCACCACCACCTAACCTCACTCCACCCCACCCAACCTCACTCCACCCCACCCCCCTCCGCTCTTCAGCTACGTCCCGCACACTCCCCCGAAATTTCCCACAAATCGTCTCTGTCTCCCCCCAAAATGAATTTTCCCAACTTGGGATGTCTGAGTGCGAATGTTTGCTGATGTTTAGATTTTCCAACTCAAGCAATTTGTGCGAAACGCACGTCAAACGCAGAAAATGCTCAACTCGCACCACTTCATTTGCTTGAATTGCCTCATTTGCTCAATGTGCCGCATGTCTATTCGCCACTTTGCATTGACCTAACACTTGAAATTTCATCCGCGACTGGTGTGAACACAGCATTAAACACAGCATTAAACATGCCTGAAACATCTAGACAACATATTTATAATAACTAGATATTTCCAGTAACGTTCCAAGGAAACATCCTGACACCCCTAGATTATGTCATTCAAAATCTAATAATACACCTTTATTATAAATAAAAAAATAGCAGATGTACTATGAAATGTCAGCTTGAACTCACAAGGAAATGTAACTACTCTAGGTATTGTCAGAAAAGTGGCTAAATCATTAAAATTCATATGACTGCATTTGAATGAAAGTGTACAACTTTTAAACAAATCGTGCCCCCCAAAGACCACCCCTAACCCCACCCTTCACTAGGGGATGGGCAAATTGTAATCGTAATGAGATCGTACAAATTAATACAAATTAGCCACTATTTTTTGCTTCGAGATTAAATTGGGAATATTACAAGATATGAAATACTTAATTTAAAAAAAATAATGGGGGGAAATAATGCAGCACTGATCTTAGTGAGCTTTCCTTGAGCAAAACGAGACAATTAGTTTAATTGTTTCAGACAACAAAAGTACTTTACTACATAATAAAGCATTGGCTGCATGCTGCTTATTTCTCTTGCACTTTTTTATCATGCCAATAAAGCTTTAAATTAGCGAAAATAGTTTTTCTATCAAAAGCACTTGCCTTTGTTTCTTTGTTACAACAAGAATTTTAGCTACCTCTAATAAGAGAAGAACAGGCCAAGTTTTTCCCTTCTAGTTATTTTTAGTCTCAACTTATGTTTTAACCTTCATTTTGCTAGTGCAATATCTCCAATATTGTATGTGCAATTCTCACAGACAGTCAAAACTATTATCAGTTCCTAACTGACACATGGTGTTTTCCAACACAAACTGTTCTTTCAGTCAAGTGTTGGGACACATGTTCAATGGTAGATCATTTGTGGTGTATTTTTTACGTTTCAAGATTTAAGGATTTCCCTGTGCGTATTCCCATCTTTTCTTCCCGCCTAAAGACCTAAACTAGTCCAGTCTGCATGTGTATGTGTAGTGGGTAAGGGTGGTATATAAGTGGAGACTGGCCATTTGATATGTAATAGTTACTGAAGTTGTGGTCTGTCATGTATGGTGCAGGTTGGTAGTAGCAGGTAACATTATTGGCATTAGGAATGATATTCTGCTCACCTAGGACTTTGAGTGCTAGAATGGTAATCATATTAAGAGTCTGTCGGCGCTCATGCCCCATCAAGCACACAGTGCTCTCATTGACCACTCTCCGAAGGGTCATCAAGTAATCATATTTGCTTTTTTCCTCACCAATAAAATGGTTGCGCAGGTACGATTCAATCTTGCGCTGCTGCTCGTTCACGTCAGGGAAGTCAATAAAAAAACGTGAACACATATAGCGCTCGAGTGTCTTAATTTCAGTTTCGCAGGCTGGTTTGAAATCCCGGACAAGCAGATTACTGTACTTGAGCAGGCCTCCACCCCTAATTTCTTCAGGGTTACGTGTTGCTATTAGCCTGTAACGTAGGTGGTCCATAGCCTGCTCAAAGTCACCGTACATGCTCTCAGCCAACACTGTAACAAAAGGTAGCTCTTTAGCAGGGGTTATAGGCTCAATGGTGTCTAAAACTGATGTGTCGGATATTTCGGAAACCACTGCCTCACTTACTGAGGATGTAGATGTTTCTAATACTGAAAATGAAACTGCAAAGGGTTTCAAAACCTCTGAAAGTATTTCAGGTGGTTCCAAAACGTCAAATATTACTTCAGAGGGGTCAATGGCCTCAGGTGGTTCTAAAAGAGGTTCTGGGATTCTAGGAGATTCTAAAGTTTCTGTTGTGGAAGGTTCTGGTGATGTTGAAAAAAGTGGTGGTGATACTGTGAGGCTTTGAACCTCTGGCAAAGAGACATGCGGTTCTAACACATATGTTGGGGGTTCTTTACTCTGTGGGTTTGGCACAAGAAGTTCCTGAGTCTGCTTTATGGGCATGGAATAGTTGTGAATTTGAGGTGATATAACATGTTCTGAACTCGACAAATTGGTCAGTACCACTTGTGAATCAATAGTGTGGTCTGCAGACAATAGTTTTACTATTTGAGATGCCTTAGTGGTGGATTCTAAGGGTTGACTAAGATGTTCTGGTGACGTGGGGTCTTTGACTTGGGTACATGAGTCATTATCTTGTGTTTTGAGAGAGGCTGAGTTGAAGCAATAACTGTCATTTGTCTGAAGCAAAGGTTTAGAATTTACATTAATGAGAGGTACCGTTGGTTCACACTGTGTTGCCTGAATGCTTTCGCTACAAGGCTGGTTCATCCTGTTTTGATCTTTGGGGAGACTACTAGGATTTGATGTAGGGTTTAACATAGTGACATGAGTAGTTTCACCAGTTTCTGGTTCTGAGCTTTGTGCTCGACTTTGAAAGCTTTTCTCTGGTGAAAGACTCGTGTGCAAAGTGTCTTCTGAATGCACACCATTCTCTGGAGCAGCAACAGTAAAAGCTCCAGTACAAGTGGCTAGTTTTTTAGACTCATCGGAGTCTTTTTCTGAGGCACTGGAAAATTCAAAGCTTTTTGTGGTAAGACCTGACAATTTCACCTGCATAGGTAATGAATCTTTCTGGTTAGCATTAGGTGGATGCAAAACCTGACAAGTGTTAACATCTAAATTATTTGAGACAGATTTTTCTGGTGAACATGGTACAAGAGTTGTCTTTTTTGACATTTTCCGAGGTGGTTTGGGTGAGGAGTGCTTGAGAACAACCATTTGTGAGTTTTGGCTGTTTTTCTTTGCAGGGGGTGGTAGAGGATACTCAGCATATGATTCTAGTGATGCTTGCTTTACAAATTTAATGGGAGCAGGTTGGAATGTGCATCGCTCACCAAATTTCCCTTTTGTTGAAAGACAAGAAAAGTCTGCATGTACCACATCAAGCCACGATTGGGAATTTACTGGCTCTATGTCTAACATGTACTCTGTTTTGGTAGAATCTGTCTCGCTAAAATTTGTATTAACTGGGGTATTTGGTTCTATAACAGGCATGGTTTTTATCCCAACCTGTTCAGTTCCCCCACCTGAGTCACAACATGTTTCCTTTGCATCTACCTCTACCAATGTCTGTGTATGTAAAGACAAATTTTCATGAAGTTCTTTTTCTTCTTCGACATGCATTGTAACAGAGTTCTCTGACACTTGCTCTATGGATACAGTCATTGTTGTAGTTTCAACTATCTCCGTTTTAACATCTTTGTCTGTTTCAAGGGTTGGTTCTTGCTCTGGATGTTTAAACTGCTCATTCGGACTCATTTTACAATAACACTCAAAGTCACTGAAGGTCTGCGTTTCATTTGTTTTGCAAGACATGTCAACATCACTTTCCTGATGATGACCTATGTCACAAGAGCTGAGGAATGTTTCATCCATGAAGTCCGACTGAATCTCTTGTCTTTGAGCAGAAGTGGAGTCATGGTCTTCTTGTCCTTCTGCAGCTTTTCTCCTTTCGGCATCCAAATAAGATTGCAGCATGCTGTCCAGGATGATCTGAAAGGAGTCCACGCTGAATTCAAACTGTCGTCGTAGAGAGTTGACAAACTTGAGCTCTACATTCTTACCACTATTGTTTGAGAGGGAGATAAGGCTCCAACGGTCATGCTCAGTGAAAACCTTCACCATTTTTTGAACATATGCCTCTTTCATGGTGAGAGCTGTGATTTTATCTTTGTTGACTCCTTTAGGTAAAAAGTCCAGAAGACAGCTCAAAACTACCTCCTTGATAATCTGGAAGTCCTCTGGCTTGGGAAGCTCAACACCAAAGATGATATCCAGGTCTTTATAGCTGGTGCCGTTTTCTTTAACCAGCACATGGCTGGCTGTAGAGCCATTGAGACGTACATCTCTTACCTTGATTTTCTTCAAAATCAGTCTGTTTCTGACTACATGGATAATGTCTTTGGGCTTGATTTCAAGGGTTGGGAAGTTGCCCCTACCATGAATGGGAATGACCTCGGTAAGAACTTGGTCTAATGTCTCCACCTGTTCTTGCGTCAGTTTGTGAAACCGCCGGTCATCTTCCATCTCTATTGCGTTCACTTGATCTGGAAGAAATACAGACAGAGAGACTGATTGTTAGATGTGTAACATTTATTATAACATTTTAATTTTAATAAAGTGATTTGCCACAGGGGGCGACACGGTGGATCAGTAGTTAACACTGTTGCCTCACAGCATGAAGGTAACCGATTCGAGACCCGGCTGGGTCAGTGGGCATTTCTGTATGGATTTTGCATGTTCCCCCCATGTTGATGTGGGTTTCCTCTGGGTACTTCGGTTTCCCACACAGTCCAAAGACATGCAATATAGGTGAATTGAATAAACAAAATTTTCCATTGTGTATACGTGTGAATGAGTGTGTATGGATGTTTTCCAGTAATGGGTTGCAGCTTGACCTGTGAGAAAGGTTGATTGAATACTTCATATATTTCCAACCCGGGCTCATTGTGGAAACGTAGTCCCGCGGACGTTTCTGGAGACCAAGGAATACGTCCCGGCGGGTACGTACGGCTGCAGTTGTTGTTTTTGCGAATTGTTGCGAATTTTGTGCGGTTCGCGCCTGCACTGTTCTCGCGTGAACCCGCCAGAGGCCGCTGTCCGACTGACTGGATGATTGACTGACCGGATGATTGACTGCGCGACCGGCCAATCGGCAGACCCGCCCTCCTCCTTCCCTGAACCCAACCAATTTTACCGATCGACCCACCCGCCCGCTCGCTTCCCCAAACCTGAGCAACAGGTTACAAAAAGCCGTCCAAAAAAAGAAAAACCCTGATGTTTTTTTTTTTCTACCGCGTTTTCGGATTTCACCGCGTTCTCACCCTGTTACAAAACTCGTTCACTTAATTTTTGGGATTCTGTTTTTGTCTTACCTGATTGCTGGAACCGATGTTCCCCGTACTCGAAACCGATGGCCGTGGTCAACCCTTAGCGTTCGCTTGAAAAAAATAAACGCGGCCGTACGTACCTGCCGGGACATATTCCACTGTCTCCAGAAACGTCCGCGGGTCTACGTTTTCAGAATGAGATTGGGTTGTATATTTCATTGTAAACTTGAATTCTTTAAAAGTATCATATGAATAGCACAGAGGGCTTAAACTTGATTCCTAAAGGGCCGCAGCTCTGCACAGTTTTGCTCCAACCCCATCAAACACAGCTGATCCAACTAATTAAGACTACTTAAGCAGGTACAATCAGATAAATTTTACCTGAAGTTGATTAAATGCTTTCAAAAAGGTGGCCCGCTCATGGCTTTAAACTATTATTTGGGAAGCTTGACTTTAAATATAGCCCAGCACTCCCATATCATATGGTTGTTTTATACAACTACAATTGAAATAACAATAATAATACAAAGAAGTCAACAATCATAATTAATTCCTCATTAAACAGCAGCTTGAGAACTATCCTGTGAGCCATATTCTTTCATTGAGTTAATAGAGGCTATAGCCAACAGACCCTATTTTTAGTAACAAGCTATCATCCCTAGAAGCAAAGAATTCTGGCCCAGATTTGGCATAAAGCTGGCACAGCAGGCATTCATCCGGCACTGGCATACAGCATGTGGGCCAAACATGGCCCGGGTTTGGCAGAGGTGGCACCGTCTTTAAGGCGGCACACAAGATTTGGGCCAGATGAAAAATGTAGTATTTGGCCCAGATTTTAAAATTTGATAAGTGGGCCATGTGAGTTTGGCCAGTCTTGACCCACATTTAAAATACACTAAAATCATTTTTGAGTAAAGAAAAAAAATTCTACCAATCAGGTCACTTTGAGAAAAAGCATGCCCATAGTGTGCCTAAAGCGCATCACTCCATGGGTTTATCAATTTCATTGCAATCGTGACACACCAACCTATCTGGCCCAGTTCAGGCCCAGTTATGATTTATTAACTTGGCTGAGACTTGGCCCAGATATGGTCCGTGTTTGGCCCTTGTCTGGAAGCCAGATTTGGTTCAGTCATGTACCGTAATTCACTGCGGCATGTGGGCCAAGCAAAACCTGATTGTGTGGGCCAGAGCTGGGCCAGAGAAATTTTGCTATGTGGGATGCTTCTTTCCAATTAAAGCATTTTTCCTCTTACACTACTTCTGGTTAAAATCTTTTTCTCTTTGCCCTCTACATTCTTATCTACTTTTTACTTCATTGCTACCTCTCTAGCTATTTCTCCATTTCTTTTTTCTGTTGGCTTCTTGACCGCTGTCACCTACAAAAGGGTGATCTCTCCCTCTCCGCTTCTGGAGGCTCTTTTTTATTTTCCTTTTCAACCTTTCATTTTCTTTACACTACTGCAGTAGTAATCTTGACCTCTGCTCCCACAGGAGTGCTCTTTGTCTTTACCTTCACTGCTGCACTAGAAATCACACCTGAGTTCTTGCTGGAGATCTTTCTTTCTTTATCCTCTGAGCCTACAGGAGTTCTGTTTCTTTTGTGTTTTCCTTTTTTTTTTTGGTGCAGTTTCATTCACAGCTGCAACTGCAAAATTATGATTCTGTCTAAGTTCTGTCTTCCCCTGTTGGTAATTTTAAAGCTGATTTGGCAAAGAGTTATGTGTAGATGACAGAGAGTGGTGGGGGTTTGGGGTGTATGCAAAGATTAATGCCTGATTCACACTGGACTTCAGCGGGTTGCAGCTGGAAGGGCATCCATTGTTCAAAACATATGCCGGGTAAGTTGGCGGTTTATTCCGCTGTGGCGACCCCAGATTAATAAAGAGAATAAGCTAAAAAGAAAATGAATAAATGAATGAACATTTTAATTTAGATTCATAATGAAGGCTGTTGGGCGGCACAATGCCTCAGTGGTTGGCACTGTCAGCTCACAGCTAGAAGATCCCTGGTTCGGGTGATGGCTGAGCCAGTTGGCATTTCTGTGTGGAGTTTGCATGTGCTCCCCGTGTTGGCATGAGTTTTCTCCAGGGTGCTCTTGTTTCCCCCACAGACCAAAGACATGCACTATAGGTGAATCGAAGAAAGTAAATTGCTGAGTGTGAGTGTGTATGGGTGTTTCCCAATACTGTTGGAAGGGCATCCGCTGCATTAAACATATGCCGGAATAGTTGGCGGTTCATCCCACTGTGGCGACCTCTGAAATAAAGACTAAGCCAAAGGTAAATAAATGAATGAAGGCTGTCATAGGTCAAGTTCAAATGAATCTATACATTTGTATTGGTGGATTATGACCAGCAAACCTAAGCTTGACAATGGCTATTGGTTGACTTTCAGATCTGACAGCCAAAAATATGCCAAAATATATATATATATATATATATATATATATATATATATATATATATATATATATATATATATATATATATATATATATATATATATATATTATAATAATCCAGAATAATATAATAATAATAAAACAATTTTACCATAAATGTGTGAAAGACGGAAACAAATTGCAAGTGCTGTTAGTTGTGATTTTACACACATTAAAGTGTACTAATCTCACTCAGTCCCAAATGTGTTTACTGAGCTGTGAGAAAACACGCTGCTGCTACTCTCCGAGTGAACCAAAGCAACTGTGCTAATCTGACAAATTTCTGCATCACATGAATGAACATTAATGAAGACTAAAATAGCAATAACACCATCAAAGTCTTTCAGGTGTACTTCATACAATCCATTAAAAGGTATTAAAGACAGAATATAATCTGATAACAAGTACTACGTTTTTGGAATCTGTTTACATAATCCATATCATTTGATCTGTTTTTACCCAACAGTTATTACTGCATTGATGTACTCTGTGTCTAAAGGTACACATCTGGATAAGTCACTTCAGGTAACTTCAGAGTTGGCGACTGACGCATTTGCGGTGAGACAAATGCCTTCAGGCTCAGTCTCACACTCTCATGCTGCTCAACTAAATTTCATGCCCAATCCCAAGACTATGCAGCACAAATCAATACAAAAATGCTCATAGGGTTTTTTCACCAAAACAAGCTATTTACAAAATTTGTTTTTAAAAGCACAAATTTATGTCATCTGTCAGTGCATCTTTAAAAAGGGTTCAGGTTTTGGAAACATTCAGCGATTTTTTAAGGTTAAATATGCAAAACAGATGATATTTTGGACTGATTATTTATGCGGTTGCATGAATAACCGCTATCAGTAACATTTCTTACATTATTTCTTGTTTCTATGATAAATTTTATACAGATTATTAGCATTTTATATCATTTACATTCTTATTTTAATGGTTAAAACACTAAATCAATATTTAAAATGCATCTTTTCAACCTTAAAACCACAAATATGTCTTTAATTCAACTCATGTCATCCATATCTCAATCCGGCCATGCAACCAAATGTTTTACTTTGTAAACAACTGTTGCTTTATTTTAAGATCTCGTTTTGGCACTTTAGTTTATGTGTAACTGTCGTAATAATTCCATCAGAAAGAATCCACAGGTTTTTCAGAAAGATCCAAGTTAGTGATGACATTTTGCTCTTTAGTTTAGACCAGTGGTTCTCAAAGTGGGGGTCGGGACCCCCCGAGGGGTCGCGGGGCAATGAAGGGGGGTCGCCTGGTGATTTCCAAAAATCTATTTATTTTTTTAAACCATAAGAATTAACATATTTTATCCATAACTATACTGAAAATAAAAATAGTCCTTTATAGTTACTATATACTATATAGTGACTATAGTAGCTTATGTTTACTAGTTCTATTGGATTGCGACCCCTGGGGTAATTACATTATATTAAAGGCAGCAATAGCGTCAGATGCATTTTTATTTTATAACATCAGGTTATACTTTCTGGCACATTTTAAGCACTGACACAAATTTAATTGGTGTGTCTGCGTCATTGCATGCAAGGTTTCTGTATTCATAACCACCCCAGAGGATATTGGGGGTCGCGAGTCACTGGCATTGTTATTTTGGGGGTCGCGGGCTGAAAAGTTTGGGAACCCCTGGTTTAGACAACCGTAAAGCCTCCTTTCCACCGTACATGACAAACGACACGCAACAGATTGGAAGTCCTTAATTTCCAATGGAGAGTAGTCTGGGAGCTGCGTGGAGTTCCGATCATCTCCGTATGCGGAAAATTCGGATGCAAACTGAGCAGCGGATCCGTTGAAAAGTTTGAACTCTTGCAATTAGACCGGCCGACCGGATGTGATGTATTCCAGTGTTGTACAAGCAAGTCTGTGTGCACGAGATGAGAAATAGGAGTTTTTTTGGTTATTTTTTGGTGAATTGGGTATGCTAAAATTGACCGGAATGTATGAGTGTGTGAATGGCCCATGTGAACCGTACTCTGGCACACCTCTTCCAACCAGGCCAGGGCCGGCCAACTGAACTATGCCTAAGCCCGATTTAGAGCACTCACACTTTGATTTGGAAACGGGCCTGGACACGGTTCGGATAGCATAGTGTGGGTGCGCCCTGAGTGTGTCTGTGTTTCCAGAGATGGTTTGTTGCTGGAAAGGCATCCGTTACGTAAAACATGTGCTGGATAAGTTGACGGTTCATTCCGCTGTGGCGACCTCAGATTAATAAAGGGACTAAGCCGAAAATTAAATGAATGAATAAATGAGTTAGTGTTGTGTGGTACCGATATCGATATTTATTGAACAAACACCATTGTCTCTAACAATAAAATAAAGTTTGCTATGAAGCACTATAGTTTTATTAAAATGTGGCTGCTGAGCGTGCATCTGGAAAGCAATGCGAATAAGCCTAGGGAGTAAGTTTGCAATTTCCAATGGAAGCATGTGGTGCGCACAGCTTGCATATGGTTGAAAACATCTGAACTTTTCCGAATGTCGAGAGAATACCGCGATTCATGTAAGTAGAACTAACCAATTTGCTTCACACTTTGTATGGAATATACACAATTCAGTAATAATGGAAGACTATTTGCTCAGACAAACACAGCGCATCCAAACACTGTAGTGCTTTTTCTTCATAAACTTGCATCAGAGCTGCAGCAATGGTTTGTCCGTTTGTCATCCTCTGAGAAAACGATTGATGGTCGCCTAGTTTCAGAAAGAAGGCAGGGGATCGTGAGCACAAAGCGCATTGCAACGCCCCATTCACACGGGGCTTCAGCGTCAATGTTTGACAGAGGCCGTGTCTGAAGTCGGGGCTGACGCGATCATCATAGCAGCGTCAGCCAATAAAATTAGTCAGCAATAGGCCACTGTCTGAGCTGTTGTATTTGCATACAGCGATATGATTGGCTGACGCGTCCGTTGCTGCTTGAAAAGTTAAGCAAGTCCCAACTTCTGCAGTGAGCAACGCCTCTGAAGCGGCGCCGACGGATCCACAATGCAGTTCGGCAATGCCTGACGTCACCCATTCAAAGTGAATGGGAAGCGTTGAAGCTGACGCCCCATGTGAATGGGGCGTAAATGGTAAAGGAAACCACGCACTCGTGCTGGTCAGAATAACAACATACATGAAAATGAGTGTCTTATAGCAGCAGTGAGGAAATTGTAAATAAAAACAGATGTAAGGATGTCGCCAGAGTGGCTTTTTGGTTTCTTTTCTTGTGTATCCCAGCCACTAACACCTAATCTGAAAGATTTTTTAGCATAGTGGTAATGTAGTCATCCAGCTTCACAATTTGTAATGTTGCAGTATTTATATGAAAAATGATGGTTGATTCATTTACTTGAAAGCTTAGATTCGATTATTATTCACATGTTGATCTACCTTTACCATTGCACACGCTTTGTAACATTTTATTTATCAAGTTTAAGAGTCTCTTTAACACTTATGTTTATTTTATCATGAAGAGATCAAATATTTTGTTTAAATATTTTTGTTTTTGACAGTTAAAACTATTTGCCTTGTTGTAATGTTAGTGAATTAAAGTGGTTAAATTAAAAAAAAAACTAATATTCCTAAATGTATTGGTAAAAAAAATATTTAATAATTATTTATATCGAATGACATGAAACATGATATTGATTTTTTTTTTTTTTTTTTTTTGCAAAATCACCCAGCCCAAATATAAGTTATACAATTGGGTTTGTTTAAAAATGAATAAATCTCCCCATATTCTGGGTTATAAAAATCCCACTACTTGAAATGCTTTAGAAAGCGCAGTGCTATTGTAATTCCTTTGTTATTGTTTACATCCTTGGATAAAGAACATCATTCTTAACCAGAAAAAAACATGAACAGACTGTTCTTAACTAAAATGTGCTTTTACACCATAATACTTGGCAATTCGTCCTGACTGAGGGGGCAGGACAGGGTAGGTGAGGGGGCGTCGCTTGGTGACGCTGACTATGTGTCTATGACGTAATTACCGACACGTCACGACAGTTAAATTCCAAAAGCAAGACTAATATTTAGCCAGACGTAAAAAAACCCGCCAACTTTCCCCATGATTATTTATTTCAGCTAAGATCTTTATCAGTGTTTTGGTGCCATTTCCTCTACAGACACACATGAATGTGGACACTGGCTGTGACGCTGCAGCACGATGATGTTGTCCTCCCCCGCCCCTCATGCGCGCACTCTCCCGCAAATAAACCGCTGTGAGTCATCGAAGTACTTCTGCTCATCCATTCACAGACACACGCCAGCAGGTTTTAGGAAAAACAGTCTCTTGGTAATGGACTATAGTCCATTTAAACGCGTACTGCGCGTTATAAACTTAATTATCTGCGTTGAGTTGAACGTGCACATTTCTTTTTGCTTACATGTACAGAAATAACTGCTCACAAACAAAATATTTCTATCTATTCAGTGTATAAAGTTGTAATAGCTCTAAAAGCAAAACGTAAATAAATAAACGCGCGTGATATTCGCAGACAGAATTGAATAGTCTGCCTCATAAACATTAAACCAAGCATGAATTACAGCTCTGAGGACCAGTGCATTGTTTTTATTACGTATACGTGTGCGTGTTACCATTTGTGCATTTGGCATGATAATAAATATAATGTCGTCATCACTAAAATGTCATAAAAGTATTCGCTTGCTACTCACTTTTGTCGTCTATTAACTCAGTTACGTTGCCAGTCCGTCGTCGTAGGGTTTTTAAAACTTCGGCAATGAAAACAGCTTTTGCTGAAGTGAATTCAAACTTGACAGCGGTCAAACCACGAAGAAGAAACAATGTTGGTAGATGATAATTATTTATCTAGTCATGTGGCGGGGTTAGAAGTCAAATGAGTTCAAGTCCACGCAAATATGGACTTCTTCAACTCACCCCTCGATGCGCAGAAACGTAAGAGTGGCAGGACGTCAATGCTGATTTTCCAGGGTTAATCCGACAGTGATTTGGTCATCGGGTCAGACCTTCAGGGTTCATTAGGCTGAATTCCACAGCTGGGGAGTGCGGCGGGAGCGCGGTCGCTGTTCAGGCAGATCGTGGTTCTGAAACTCTTAAATATCCCACACCTTCTGCTCTCTCAGAGCCTGGAGCTTAAAGCAGTTTCCATGGCGACCTGGCGTCACAGTTTTGAGGTAGTCCACGTAGTGCGAGAGTCACAACAATGGCACATATCAAAAGCCCGCGGAACGAGAGTTAACAGGTGTCAAGTGCGCGCACATGTATGTGCATGTTGTGTTATTGAGCGATAATGCCATGTGAAATAGGCTTGGTCTGTTTAACGCGTCACATGCCCAAAACAAAAATTAAAGGAGGTGGCTATTAAAGAACTGCAATGAAAACAAACTGAAAGATATAATTTTACATGTAATGATCCTGCCCATAGAGCTAGGGAGGGTTCGGGTGGTTCGAAAGACTGTAAAAGGTCCAGAATTTGTCCCACAAGCTTATTATTCTATTTTATTACTGCTATTCCATTATAAATTATGAAAATAATCAATCGATGAGGCTTCAAGATCAAGCAGAATCCCATGTTGGCTGTCCGTATAGAATTTGGGACACTATTTGGTAGTTGTTGCTAGATCAGGTTGCGGCTTGAAGTTAATAAGAATTATTTATATTATTTATTAAATTTTCTATTTATTGTATTCTATTAACACCTACCCCCGCCCCAACCCCAACCGTCACCGTAACATGAAAACAGTAGTTGTATCAAGTATTATTTATCCTATCTATTAAATTACCCAATAAATTTTATTTTTTAATGCCTATGCCCACCCCAACCCTAAACCCAACCGTCACAGTACTGTAAAAATATTAATTATTGTTATACAGTGTCGCATAAAATGCTACTATGATTGATGTACATATCGCACTTCCAGCCGGACACGTATCCAATCTAGACTTTACGGAATTTGGCACAATGTGACTTCCCATTCTGAGGTCACACCATGCCAAATTCAGCATCCCAAATTTTGATTGAGGAAATTTGAATGTGCTGGCCAGTTTGTTATTTGCCTAATAAATTTAAAACATTAACAGACTCTTATTTTTGTATTTTCAAAATAAGTATTGTTTTCATATTTATTTAATTAAAATCTTTAGGAAATGCTTTTGGTAAGCTACATCAAAACGTATGGTTACGATGACCATGCCACAAGCATAGATTTATTTTCTCATAAATAAATAGAAAACGGGGCAAATGACGGCAAAAAAGGTCCACTTTTTTATAAAAAAAGAACCACCCCTTTCACCAGGCTGGCTACAGGCCTGATGATATATATTTTGATTTTGTTTGACTTGTAATTATCACAGACTATAAGAATAAAAATAGGCTAATAGTTTGGCGGTAGTCGCAAAATGCATATTTAAAGATGATTTCATCATGTGTGTCGACAATTCTAATATCAGACCAATTTTGTGTTTAGTAGACGTCTAAAAGACATCTAAACGTAGACAGCTTGGCTAAAACAAGGCTAATCTTGGGCTGTCAGTAAAAATCTAATAGGCATCTAAGAATAGCCCAAAACTAGACTAGTCGTTAAATAGACATAAATACTTTATATGTGTTGTCATTCATTTCTGTTTGTTTGATGACTAGTCTAGATTTGGCCTATTCTCAGATGTCTATTAGATTTTGACTGACAGACTAAATTTAGCCTTGTTTTAGCCATGTTTAAACGTCTATTAGACCTCTATTAGACACCTTTTAAAAGCAAAAAAAAAAAATGCTTGCTGGCATAGGTTGTTCGGGGGATTCAGACAATTAAGATTTTATTCATTTAATGAAATATAAATATAATATACATTCTAAAAAACGTTGAGTTATTTATTAAACCCAATGGTTGAGTTAAACATATTTGGTGCTTCGTTGGGTTATTTTTCAACTTTAAAAGGTAATTTATTAATATCTCAACCAGTTGAGTTAAATATTTGTTGCTTTGTTGGGTTATTTTTAACCTTTATTTGCTTATTTAGTTAATAACTATATAATAAAATAATGATTTTTTAACTAATTTAATCTCCCAAGCCCCAAATAATTTTTTTTCTGTGATTTCCTACATCCTATGGGTTAAAACAAAGTCTATAATTTACAGTTTTTACGTTTTGTTTTTATTTTTAATTTAACAGCATGTCCACCGTTGTGAACCACAGGACCATTTTAGTTCAAAATGACCACCAATCTCAAAACTTTACAGGATATGGCTGTAAAGGGATATTAATCCAATATTATTATAACTAAAATAAACAAAAGCCAGTTTTCCTTTTGTATTGAAATTCCTGAAACAGTTTAGTGTGAGAAAAAAAAAAGAAGTGATGTTAATTCAAAACAAATTTAACATAAAAGTTATTTAAAACTGATTGTCATTTTCTAATTGTCTCTAATTTTCTGATTGTCAGACTCTAAGTCAAATATCTTATAAATAATCCTCCCTGCTTCAGTTCTGCCCTCTACAACATGCAGTCATTAAATACATTAAGATGGTCCTGGTGTCCACTATAGTGGACATTTAAAAAGGGATGATATTTTGAAACACAAACAAGTTAACCGCTTTAAAAGCTAAATGTATTGTTCCTGACACTTTAATAAACAAATATATGTAATAATAATCGTAAAAAAAAGAAAAACATTTAAAAAGCCAATTTTACATGCCTCTCTCTTTCCCATAAAATGTGCTTGTTTGTATGCCGGCCATTTTGGATGCATTGTAAGACCTAGCATGCCAGCCAATCAAATGACATATCACTGGAAAGCCCAGGATGTCCTCTGAACAGTACAACAGGACTTGACAGAGTAGCTCAAAAAAATTGAAGTTTCTGTTTATTTGATCTAGTTTTGGTCTATTCTTAGATGACTATTAGATTTTGACTGACAGACTAAATTTAGCATAGTTTTAGCCATGTTTAGATGTCTATAAGACATCTATTAGACATCTTTAAAAAATGCTTGCTGGGATAGGCTGTTCAGGTATTCAGACGATTAAGATTTTATTTATTGAATAAAATATGAACATAAGATACATTCTAAAAAATGTTGAGTTATTTATTAAACCCAATGGTGGAGTTAAACATATTTGGTGCTTTGTTGGGTTATTTTCAACACAATAATGTTGTATTTTAAATCAAATTACCTCTCCATGTCATGTTTTTTATTACTGTTTCATCAGCACTCTTAATTTTTGATGATACAATCTCGTGCTCCATAGCCGATCTATATTATTTATTTACACAGCCATAATTAAAAAAACAAAAAAAAAACAAAACAACTAGTAGTACCAGAACTAGTACCAAATAATACTAGTACCAGAATGGAAAAAAAATAAAAATTATTAAAATTAACCCATAGTTGGGAAGGTGCTATAATGACCTATAGGTGGGTTATATGTTGGGGTATTTTAACCCAGCTATTTTAACTAAGTATTGAACATTGTAGACACTGAGCGAAGCCTGCTGCAGCTGCTGGACGGTCTCTACAGCACACAGAGCTCCATATTCTGCTTCATCAACACATGATTTTGTGCTTGCACATTTATAACTGTCTGGGCTTTGTTCTGTTTCTTCATTGTTTGTGATTCTTGATTTATTTTAGCAAAAGTGTCTGCAACTGAAATGTAATGGAAATAAAGCATTTTCAGTATTTTTGAAAACTGTATAATATATATTTACACAGCCATAAATCTAAAATTAATAGTAATACTAGTAATAGTAGCAGTAGTAAAACCAGAATGAAAAAAAAAAAAACATTTAATCAAAATAACAAAGTTGGAAGATGCTATAATAACCCATAGTTGGGTTATATGTTGGGGTATTTTAACCCAATTATTTTAACATTGTATGTGTAGTCATTCATTTCTGTTTATTTTATCTAGTTTTGACCTATTCTTAGATGTCTATTAGATTTTGACTGACAGACTAAATTTAGCCTTGATGTTTAGACGTCTATTAGACATCTATTGGACATCTTTAAAAACGCTTGCTGGGATAGGCTGTTCAGGGATTCAGACGTTTAAGATTTTATTTATTTAATAAAATATGAGTATAATATAGTGTTTTACAAACCCTTGATGCAGTTTAAACTTGGTTCTGCACAACTCACAACAACTTTATTTAAAAAATAGGCTACCCACTTTATTTTACTTTTGCTAAAATCAGTTTGCGATATTTATGCTTAATCTCTACTGTTAGTTTTAACACTGACCAAACTGCTTCTATGAAATAAGCTTCCTCCAGCCAGCGTGTGTTTTATTGTTTGCGCAAATACTTGTAGTGTGAGGTTGTTTCCTGGCAGTGAGCTTAGAGGATGCTCTACACAGGCGCTGCAGTGCTATGTTATATCAGCCAGTTAGTGACTCATCCCTCTCTTGCTCTCATGATGTAGAGACGCAAAACCAACCATCAATCAACCCCTCCCTCCTGTACACGTCAAGGATAGATCTCTGCAGTGAAAGAAAGCCCGGACAGACTTGTCATGTCCAATGCATTAGGCACTTCTCACTAAGACTCCAGTTTAGTTACATTTCCAGGCACAAACCTGACCAAAATGCTCTGCTGTGTAAAAAAAGCACCCATTTCTTTCTTCAGAAAATACAAATAAAATTGCTAAAAAGTGCTAATATGTTAACTCAAATAGCCTAGATCGTTTTAATATAATTTATATAGACTTATATCATTGTTTAAAATGCTTATGGCTAGGTTAGTGGTCATTATTAGTATTTCAAACAAGTGATCTAATAGATGATGGCAATTTGTGAATTTCCATAAATAAATCCGACGTCACTACTCGTGTACCTAAATGGACTCCAGCACAGTGTATTAAATATGTCTTGTTGGCGCCTGGGCTTTGGCTGAACTCCCGCCTCACGTGTGATGTCACGGAGGACGCCGTTAGTGACGCGGTGGATGATGTGTGTCTGCTCTTCATCGGGATGCGAACTGGAATTTGCCTAGTAAAACAAAGACAAGTATTTACTGTTGTGGTAAACAATTCTAAAAGGTTTAGTTGACACCTCAGTTCACCCGCTGTTATTTGACGGCGCAATTGGGTAAGTTTATATAAAGGAGTGGGCAGTTTTGTTTTCGCTCTGCGTGAATGAGCGCTTTAAATCATTAAAGAACAGTTAACCGTTAAACCGCCAGCTCTTTTGCGTCATAAGCTGCAACTCCCACGAAGCACAGCTCTTGTTCAAGCATTAATTCATTATTTTAAAGGCTATTTATATGTGTAGACTTG